CTCCTGAGCTACTGTGTGCAGTGGAAGAGAGTGTGAGGCACAGGCTCCTTCTGTAGCCAGGATGACCCTGCAGTGTGGGACAAAAGGTGGCTCCTGTGGGTGACCGTGCTGGGTAGAACCAGTTCCCTGGTCCACCCTGTGCACTGCAAGCAGTCCGGTTCTGGTGTGTGTCAGGCCTGGTGTTCCCGTTGGACAGATGGGACAGTGACCAGCAAGGCCTGTCTGCTGCTGTAGCTCTCCTGCAGCTGCCCATGTGGCTGCCTGAAAGCCAGTTTGTCACTTGTCAGAATCCGCTCAGTGGATCTCAACTGGAGTGGTGTGTCTGCCAGGAGATGCTTGACCACGCCTGGAGACATTTCTTCTTGTCACAAGTGGAGGCAGAGGACAGTTGCTACTGATGAATAAAGACCAGGAATGTCACCCCACGATGGAAAACTGTCTGATCCAAATGTCCATAGAATCCTGACACTAAACAAAATGTCAGAAAAGCCCCTGGGCTTTTTTTCTCCTTGTCTTTTTCCTCTCTGTCCCCTCTGCTCACCTGTGGTGGAACTGGGAAATGACTATCTGCAACCCACTTCTGCAGTGAACCTCCTCCCCCCTCTGCCCCGCCCAGAAATCTCCGGCCCTCCCGGTCCTCCTTGCCACTTGTGTCTGCGCTTCCAACGTGCAGTTGCCCCTGGTCCTCAGGGAAAGTGTTCCCTGTGGACACCTGGAAGCTAGTACCGTGAGTAGTCCTGACTGTGGCTATACTACGTTTTTTCTTAGACGTACAAACCTGTGGCAAAGTTTAATTTATAAATCAGGCACAGTAAGAGAGAGTAGCAACAAAATATCAAGTAGAAAGGTTATAACAATGAACCATAAAACCTTCTGCAAACAAACGTGGCCTGGCTCTCTCGCCTTTTTTGTGGTGTCAGGTGATACTGCATTATAAAGCCTCTGCTGACTCCTGAAAATATGTCAGGAGGAGACCCGTCCACTTCAAATGAGCTGTGACAGTGTCGGGTGGGTAGCATATGCAGCATGGGTACGCTGGACAGTGGAGTGATTTATGCAAGATTTCATCATGCTACTCAGAACTGTGTGTCATTTAAAACTTATAAATTGTTTCTTTCTGGAATATTCCCACAATATTTTCAGCCTGGGTTGACCCAGGAAACCAAAGAAGGCAAAGCTGTGGATGAAAGAGGACAGCTACATTTGAGTTGTTTATGGCTGCAGCGTTCGGTCCTTCTTGACTGGAAACAGCAAACCTGGGGCCAGCTGCTCCTTCCCACTGTGTGTCCTAGGATAGTGGTCCACAGCCTGGTGACCTTCAAAACCCCAACCCGAGGCCAGGGACTGGTGAGATTCAAGATTGCTGCTCAGAGACACCTGGCCAGTTTCACGTGCAGCCCTGGGCAGTTCACACACCTTTCTTGTTTTGGGTTGTACTGGGGTTTGAACTCAGGGTCTACACCTTGAGCCACTCCACCAGCCCTTTTTTGAGATAGTCTCGGGAACTATTTGCCCCGGCTGGCTTCAAACTGCAGTTCTGCTAATACCTGCCTCCTGAGTAGCTAGGATCAGGTGTGGGCCACCAGCGCCCAGCTGGAGTTCACACAGCTTTAGAGGCCTCTCTCTGACCTTGGAGAGCGCTCCCAGTGTAGATGACATGAGTGACATGAGCATTCTGTGTGCTCTGCAATGTCATTCCGGAGCACTGCCAACGATACTACAGAATGGGATGCGGTACAGTGTGTGTGTGTGTTTAAACTTCAGGTCTTGTTAGCTACCAGGAGGTGGAGGTCAGGAGAATGGCAGTTCGAGGCCAGCCTGGACAAAAAGATCTCAAGACCCCATCCTTAACCAATGGCTGGGAGCAGTGCCACTGTCATCCCAGCTACATGGTGAAACACAAACAGGAGGAACGTGGTGCATGGTGCAGCCCCTCCAGGCATAAAGCGAGAACCCCCCAAAAGTATCAAAGCCAAAAGGACTGCGGGAGCGGCTCAAGTGGTAGAGTAGCTGCCTAGCAAGCACAAGGCCCTGAGTTCAACTCCCAGTACCACCAGAAAATAAAGTTTTGATCGTGGAAGTGTAGCCCAGCGGTAAAGGCCCTGGGTTAGCTTCCCAACATGGCAAAAAAAAAAAAAAAAAGGTTAGCTCTTTTCCTCTTGGAGATCCTCTGTGCTCCACTTGCCATGGCGGTGGCTTGATGGTCCTGGAAACACTGCGTTCCCCAGGATGGAGGGGGAGGATGCACTAGCACCAAAGTCCAGCTTGCTTGGAAGAACTGGAGTAAGCTGAGACTTTCAGAGCGTGCTTTGTCTAAGTTAAGGCAGTCACGGGTCTTTTCTCGAGGGTCATTGTGGACAATGGCCACAGGCATTCCTGAGTAAGCCTTTTCCACTGGTGCAGCTTGGGGACTTTCCCTGTTTCCCACACTTAGGCCGAAGGAAGAGTTGTGTGTGCGTGTCGCTTGTCCACCGAGGAATTCAGACCTGGATTTCCTGCCTGAGAAGGAAATTTCCCAAAACCACGCCAGCCAGTAACTTGTCGGTGTTGCCGCGAGGGCGTGGACTCGGCGTTGCTTGTGCGTGGACTTTGTGAGCGTGCGTGGACTGGATGGCAGGGAGAGGCGCAGGTGGTGCTTTTCTGGGTGCCGTTTGCCAGAGTTCACGTCGTCCCTGGGCTCAGTCCTGGGCAGCTGGGGTCAGTGGGCATTCTGAGATCTCTTCAGACCCAGACATCGAGGGCTTGCTTCAGCCACCCAGCCTGCCAGGCTATTTTTACGCGTGTGTGTGTTTTCAAACTCCTGAACAGAAATAACCTCACCCACTGCTCACAGAACCCCAGCAGGCCCTGCACTCCTAGCAACAGCCCGGACTTCAAACACGCTTCATGCGGACTTCTTTTTTCAGGCCTTACCAAGTTGGGAACAGAGCATGACAATAAATGTGGATAAATTTGTTTGTCCTTCTGATCAAGTTTAGTTTTGTGTTTTTTTTAATACCAGGCTTTCAAAATTAGTCCACGGTTCAAAATGTTGAACAAGTAATTCCAGTCAACAAAGCAAATAACAGAGACATCTTTCTGCCAGTTTCTGTTTAAGACTATGATCCACTTTAGGTTCAGAGGAGGTGGGAGAGACGCGCACTTCTTCCTGTAAGCCTCTGTCGTGATTACAGGAGGCCACTCTCCAGGGTGGGGGCGAGACTGTCATCTCTTTGCCTCTAATCCTCCCAGTGACGACAGCTAACACCCTGTATGGAAAAGGTACCCCAGGACATCCATGTTGCTGCTGAGAAATTCATCTGTGAAGGTTAAAGTTTGACCTTTTTGACATTTACAAGTAGGGAAAAGCAAAGCAGCTGCAGGGTTTTGGGGTTTTTGCTTTGGGCTGGTATTTTAGCCATTAGACACAACACCTTAGAAAGGTGCCCCGGTTCTACCCTCATTCTCGGGGTAGTGGGAGACCAAAGCAGTAAGCAGGTTGACCTGCCAGGTTGTGCTCCAACACGTGAGGCTGACTCCTTGTTTCACCCGAAAGTGAGCCGTGTTTCTTAGCTCTTTCTAGACACCAGCACAGAAGGCTGGGCTCCATTCAGAATCCAGGAATTAACACGGTTGTTCGTGGCAAGGTTTGGGAGCAGAAATCGAAATCCTTTCAGTGTGGACTTCTACCAGAACCGTGTGACCCATAATCAGGAATGCCACCCTGAGTACAAAACAGGAAAGGTCTGGTTCTGCCCTAGGAAGGCAGCGTCTGCATCAGAGAGCCCATCCAGTCCCCCTTCCTCCTGTCTGCCTCATCATGGAGGGGTTGCCCTTGAACCCGAGGAGGCCATCTCAGGGAAGTTCAGAGGTCGTTGACAGGGGGTTAGCCAGCTCACTTTAACCTCAGCTAGCTGGACCAAGGTGTCTCCAGGGAAAGCGCTTTCCTGCCTGCAGAGCGCCGGGTGTGGGTTCCAAGGAGAAGGTAGGTGAGGGAGTGTTTTCCACAGTGCCAAGGACTCTCAGGCCCTTCTCTGGTCACACCAGCAGTCAGAAGAAGAACCAATACACAGCCACCCCACAGTCCACCTGCTGGTCATAGATCTGAGCCAGGAAGAAGCAGAAGCAGACAGCAGAAAGAATATTGCTATTTCCAAAATGGTCTTCATGGGAAAGCCAGTCTAGAGATAATACTCCTTGTACAACCCCACTCCCACGCAATTGAATTCTTTTTTTTTTTCAATTAAATTCTTTTTAAAATCCCACAAGTTCATCCCAGCTACTTGGGAGGCAGAGATTGGGAGGACTGCAGTTCAAGACCTGCCCCAGGCAAAAAGTTAACAAGACCCCATCTGAACAAACAAGCTTGGTGTGGTGCTGGGAGGCAGATATAGGAGGATTATAGTCTGAGGCCAGGCCAGACAAACCCACAGACTCTAGACCCTGAGTTCACACCCCAGTAAAACACACACACACACACACACACACACAGGTTGACAAAAGGGCAGGCCAGCTAGGACAGTTTGTAGTATTTGTAGGAAAAGAACTTGAGTTCTCCTCTCCTCAGTGTCGGAATGGGATAGGAACACACTACATCCCTGGTTCAAGACCCTTGATGTTGTCTGTGACAAGATTCATGATGAATGGAAGTTGAGACATGTGACCTGAGAAACTTCACTCCCCCGAACGAAAGTAGTTACGAGCACAATTTAATCCCAGGAACTCTGAGTGGGAAAATAACTCATAGAAGTTGGTGGTCCTGGGTTTGAACTCAGAGCCTTGGGCTTGCTAGGCAGATGGTCTACCACTTGAACTGCACTCCCAGCCCTTTTCAGCTTTAGTTATGTTTCAGGTAGGGTGTCGGGTTTTGGTTTTTGTTTTTTTAACCCAGCTGATCTTGAACCACAGCCCAATCTCTGCCTCCTGAGTGGGGATTATAGGTGTGAGCCACTGTGCCTCGCCCAAGTCTCATAAAAGTTTTGAGAAGGTGCAGTGACGCAGGTCTCCTTCTCTCTCTGCAGTATGCCACCACGGGCTGTTCCCTGACTCTGCACCACACGGAGAAGCCAGAGCACGAAGACGTCTGTGAATACCGTCCCTACTCCTGCCCTTGTCCGGGTGCCTCCTGCAAGTGGCAGGGCTCCCTGGAAGCCGTGATGGCTCACCTCATGCACGCACACAAGAGCATCACCACCCTCCAGGGGGAGGACATCGTCTTTCTGGCCACAGACATTGACCTGCCGGGGGCCGTGGACTGGGTCATGATGCAGTCCTGCTTTGGCTACCACTTCATGCTTGTGCTGGAGAAACAGGAGAAGTATGAGGGCCACCAGCAGTTCTTCGCCATCGTGCTTCTGATCGGGACCCGAAAGCAAGCCGAGAACTTCGCCTACAGACTGGAGCTGAACGGTAACCGGCGGAGGCTGACGTGGGAGGCCACGCCGCGCTCCATCCACGACGGCGTGGCCTCGGCCATCATGAACAGCGATTGCCTTGTTTTTGACACAGCCATAGCACATCTTTTCGCCGACAACGGGAACCTGGGGATAAACGTCACCATTTCTACGTGCTGCCCGTGAAGCACCGGGTGGCCTCCCTAGGCCGTGGAAATTACTCGGGCGTAGCACTCCATGTTCAGTAAAGGTCTTGTAGAGGTTTTGATCAGGATGCCATCGCAAGTTTGGGCTCACAGTCACCACCATCAGCCCCCGACAGAGTTCACGAAACTGGGTGAGGAGGATTGGGCCGTTAGTAATTTGGAGGCTGTCCTGTGATCTAGAGTCACGTCTAGACTAAAGTTCATTTACTTCCTGAACAGTTGCTCCACAGACCAGCGTGTTAGGGCTGGAGGTTCCTTCCCTGCCTCCCCGAATCAACCCTCAAGGAGACAAAGCGCAGTGACCCTGCGGACGCCTGCATTTTTGGTTTTAGGGGACAGGAATAGTTTAATGCGTTGTAAGCAGTGTCTCTCACCTGGGCGGCTGGCCAGGGCGCACGGAGCCAGCCCAGCTGGTCTTAAACGTGCAGCTCTGGGAGTCTGTGAGCTTCACCGTCCCCAATCCCCTCTGGGGGGGTCTGATGCACAGTGAGGTTTGAGGACTGCCGCCTGGGTCGTGGGGGGGGGGGTGCAGATTTGAAGGAGCTTTGCCATCGCCCTCTGCAGGTTCTGGCAGTCTTTCTACTGTTTCAACCCCAGCCTCGCCCACTCTGAATTAAAGTCAGAACCATAAACCCACACACACACGCCTGAGACCCGGTCACTCTCTGGTGTTTGGGGTGGGTCAGCAAGTCACGTGTCCTTGATAGTCCTCATGTCATCAGTTAGTTCCTGCTCGCGGTCGGTGTGACCTGTTTACACAGGGCTCCCCCAGGAGCCCTCCCTGACTAGCTGGGAAAGACGAGGTTGGTACTGGGAGAAGCTCTGTACCCGTGTCACATGCGTGCTGTTTAAAGATGTGTGATGTGCTTTCTGTTTGTTTTTGGTTTTTTGCCACATTCACTTTAGTTTTTAATAAATATTTTCCAAAAATGAACGTTTTGCTTCATTTCCCCCGATGAATAATATGGATTTATGGAGCACCTCCTGTGCTCAGTGGCGGGAGCCTTACTTCTCCCTGTAGGGTTGGAGCTCTCACCGCTTCCACGGGAGGAAACGGTCTCTCGTCCAAAGTCATAGTGCAGGTCCATGGCAGCGCTGGAGCCCAAAACCACATCTGTGAACTTCAGGCGGTCACTGGAGTGGCCTTGCGTGGCAGGCTCCTCTGGGTCTGTGCGTGCATGCTGACTGCAGCTCTGGAGCCCGGATCCACTTTCCAAAGTCAGAAGGAAGAGGCTGGGCTGGTGTGGCTGCCCAGGGAACTGAGGCTGACCCACGGTAGGTTCCACATGCCTGGCTCTCACAGACCTCAGATGAGCCCAAATGCCGTGCGAGGACGTAGGACCAATTACCTTGGTGGCCTGGTGGCCTGCAGAGCACCAGGTAGAAGTGAGGGTGGGGACCTGCAAAGGGACTGAGGCTGTCATTCAAAGAAAGGTGAAAACGGGGCCAGGCATGGAGTGGTGCTGACAGTCTCATCTGCGGAATGATGAGAGCCACAGCTGTGTCACGAAGAGTCACATTTCAAACTGGTGTGTAGGCTCCCTGCAGAGGAACCACGATCAGGATGAGGAGCCGAAGGGCCCTGACCTCCGGGTGATCCAGGCAACACATGGTGTGAGCCAGTGAGCTCCTCGGCATCACTGTATGTCCACGCTGCACCCTGCCTCGTGTCCACACCACATCCCGCTGTGTGTCCACACCACAGGGTGATTCATATCCACACTGCACTGCACTGTGTGTCTACACCATATGAACAAAATTCTGATCATGTGTTTTCCAGACTTGAGCAGCTTCCTTTAATCTCTGACTCTGGAAATCACATCATTTCTGCCTGGCTTTCTCGAAACTGAATTTTCTGCCAGAAAATGAACAAAAACCCCTGGGTTATTCCGTCTTAAGAAGAAGTGAAAGCAGCAAAAAAAATTATGTAAATTGACATGCCTTTTTATACCAAAAGTGAAGTTTGAACACAATGGCAGTTATCTGTCAAAACTTACCGCATGGCCACTGAGCACCAGATTTTAAAATAAAACAGAACAAGAATTGTTTCTCTTCCTTGTCCCAGCTCAATATTCTAACTTAGTAAAAAATCTGAATGGGCAAGCAAGATGGAGATCCAGCCTGTGTCTGGAAAAAAAAAAGAAGGGTTCCCAAAGTCCTTGGAAGGGTTAGCAGCCATTAATTCTTAAATTAAAAAAGAAGCCAGCTTCGTGGATGGGGCTCCCCATTCTTTCTGTGAGAAGGTTTGGTCTTTTTTTTTTTTTTTTTTTTTTTGGTGGGAGTAGGGTTTGAACTCAGGGTTTCATGTTTACAAAGTACTCTACTGCTTGATTCACACCTCCAGTCCATTCTGCTTTGGTTATTTTGGAGATTGGGTTTCACAAACTATTTGCCTGGGCTGGACTGGGCTGGTCTTGAACTGTGATCCTCCTGATCTGAGCCTCCTAAGTAGCTAGGATTACAGGCGTGAGCCATTGATGCCTGGCTTCGAGGTTTGGTCTTGGTCTCCCTGAATTCTGAAGATTTTAGGATTGGGAGGTGGACTGTCCATGGGTTACAGAAAACTTCAGAGAAGACCTGTGGGCAGAAGCCACCTTGGAACTCTCTGCAGAAGAACCTCGGGCTCCAGGCTACATCCAGACCAACGGCACAGCAGCCAAATCACGGCACCATCCCAGGTGATCACCTGAGGAATCTGTCCCTTACAAACATCATCCAGGCTCTTGTGACCTGCCATGTAGCCAACAAAGTGACCCTAGGTGGCTCAGTGACCTCTCAGGTCCAAGGCTCCTAACCAGCCACATTAGGTTTACTTCCTAAATGTTTTTGCTTTGCACCCAGCAGTTGAATTATTTGATTTTAAAGATGTGTGAGAGTCATTTGGACCAGCCTTTACTGGAGGTGGCTCTGGGACTCCTGTGGCAAGCAAGGACGGTCAGCATTGGCAGGTGAGTCTGCTCCAGGGACCTCAGGGCAGGGCGGGGGGGCAGGGGGACACGCGGCCCCTGGGTGCAGAGACCAGCTTTGTGGTGGCCCCTCCTGATCCATGCAGCCTCTGCTTTTCTTTTGTCTTCTGGTTTCATGGGCCTGTGCGAGGAGGCAGGAAACCAGCTCTCCATAATGCTGGACCTTCCTTCCACTTCTGCTGCCCACCAAAGACCAACTTTCCCTTTTTTGTAAATAAAATACTGCTTATTTGAATCTGAGGCAGGAAAGGACCTTGGACCCCACCAACCTCAGCATCACCCCCACAGTTCATCTTAAAAAAGTAAATAAAACTAAGTAAATAAATGAGCTCTGCAGAGGAAAAAAAGCCACAGCTCCAAACCACACATCTGGTGAGAGTTCCTTATCTGGATGAGGTGGTGTCTCCTGCATTGAGTCAAAGGGGAAAATTAAAACGATAAGCCAGCACTTCACATTAATTAATGCAAATGAACGAAATTCACTCTCCATCTTTTTCCCCCTTTCATTTTTTGAGACAGGGTTTCAGTGTGTCACCCAGGCTGGCCTCAAACTCTCAATCCTCCCGCCTCCACCTCCCCTTCCCAAGTGCTGCGATGACAGAGTGCAAAGTCCTCACCATCTCCATTGCCACCAGCTGGGCTGAACCCCTGCCAGAGTGGACCCCCGTCCTACCTCCCTGCCCTCCCTTCTGCAACCAGGAAGCTCTTTTGAAATGCAAATCATGGTGTTGGGTGTTCATTCAGCCTTTCAGATTGCCTTTTCCTTCATAAATTTACCACAATTGCCATTGCTTCTTTTATTCATCCAACATCTACTTCCCATCGACAAAGTCCAGGGCTGTGCGGTTTTTGTTCTTCCCGGTGTCCCTGGCACCTGAGACCCAGTTAATAGCCGACTGAGTAAACTGTCACTAATGGGCCAGTCTGACAGCGGCTCAGGAAGAGTCAATGCTCCTGGCCAAGGTGAGGGGAGGTGAGGAGATGACCGCCAGCCATGGCCTCCTGCAGCTGGTGGCCCAGTGCCCCGTCTATGCTCCTGTGTGGACATATGCAAACTGTTGCTACCCTTAGAGAAGTGCAATGTAAATATGAGCTTGTGTGTGTTCTTCCTACCCTCAAATATGAAGTAGAATAAGCAGTTTTATTGTTTATAAGAGAAAGGTGTGGTGCCTCACACCTGTAATCCCAGCTACTCGGGAGGCAGAGAGCCCCTGCCTAGCAAGCTCAAGGCTTAAGAGAAACACCAACCAGGATAAGGAGGTATCACATGTGCACTCACAGAGAAGACGCACACCTGAAGTTCACATCTGTGTGTGCAGGATCACACCGGCCGTGCTCTATAATAAAAGACAGTTTTATTATAGAAGTAATATATGGGCTATTGTAAAAAAGTAATATAACAAATGCAAAGAAGAAAATCACGCACAAATTCTCTCCCAGAGATGATCACTGCTGTGTTTTGAAGTCTTCTTGTCAGATTATCCCCAGACACCAACACATTTAATTTCACAGTGCCCCATCTCTGGAAGTGTAAGTCTCTTTTCATACATCACCCAATGTCATGTATTTTGTCATAGGAACAGAAAAGGAGGTAAGGCACAGAGGCCATCACTAGAGCCAGAGAAATGGCTCAAAAAAGCTTTTCTCCTTTTGAGATGAAGAATAACACATTTATGGGTGATCACACAACAAAAGGACCTAGGTCCAGGATCCTTAGTTTGGGGACCATTAGGGGTGTTCAGGGTGGAAGGCAGGTGTGTTTATCCAGGTCTACTGCAGCACCAAGTCCCAATCTGCAGTGATAAGGACTGCCTGGTCCTGGTTGGGGAGGGCACCCCATCTCCAGGAACCTTTTGTGACTCCTTGGAGGAAAAGGAAGATCAGAAAGTCCTCCCCAAAACTACAGATTCTCCAGTGCTCTCAGCTTGCACTAATCAAGGTACCAATTCAGCATATTTGGGGTGTCACATGTCTTCAACGCCTTCCTTTGTATAGTTTACAAACTAGAAATAAAATTGAGAAAAAGAAAAGCAATTTGCTGATCAAGAGGGAAGAACTGTCTAAGAGGCAAGGACTGGCTGCTCAAACCAAGAGCCCTGTAGGCTGAAGGCTAAGGCTGAGACTGCCAGATGCCCCAGGCCTTCAGACGGTGGTACCAGGTAACCTCTTCCTACGGGTCTAGTCCCATGGGGTAAGAACATTCTGGATGGGCTGTTGTGAATGTCCAGCTACCGTAGTTGAAGTCATTGACTTTCAGTCTCCATCCTCTGAGAGCTTGCTGTAGTTTGGATGCTGCGTGTCTCCCAAAGGTGCAAGTGTTACCGGTTTGGTCTCCAAGGTGGCTCTCTTGGGACGCACTGTGGTGGTGCAGAGCTGGAGGGCCTGAATCACCAGGGATGCTCTGGAAGGGGACTAAGGACCCAGTCTCTTCCTCTTCTGCCCTTCTTCTGCTTCCTGGACCATGAGGTAAGTGGTTTGCCTACTCACTCTGTCCTGACCTGTCACCCGCAGCAGAAACCCAAAGAGCCGGGCACCAGTGACTCACACCTGTAATCCAGAGGCAGAGATCAGGAGAATCATGGTTCAAAGCCAGCCCCGGGCAATTGCAAGACCCTATCTCAAAAAGGGCTGGTGGAGTGGCTCAAGTGGTAGAGCACCTGCCTAGCAAGTGTGAGGCACTAAGTTCAACTCCCAGTACCACCAAAAAAAAAAAAAGCCCAAAGAAATGGAGCCACTCAGTCTTGGACTGGAACCTCCTCCAGAACCAGGAGCCAAAATTAACTTTTTCTCCTTATAAATTTATTGCCTGGGATATTTCACTACAGCAATGGGCAGCTGACTCACACACAGCTCTATTGGTCAGTCAGCACCACTAAATGACGACATCCCTGGATATCGTCGGTTATGATTCTGGTCCTATGAGACTGGATGTGTAAGGCTCATTTGTCATGGAGT